ACAATACAGAGTATATAGCGCAGGGGTCAGGACTATATAGAGTATATAGCGCAGGGGTCAGGACTGTGTCATGTACAATATAGAGTATATAGCGCAGGGGTCAGGACTGTGTCATGTACAATATAGAGTATATAGCACAGGGGTCAGGACTATGTCATGTACAATGTAGAGTATATAGCGCAGGGGTCAGGACTGTATCATGTACAATATACAGTATATAGCGCAGGGGTCAGGATGATGTCACCGTGGGAAGGAAGGTCAGTCTCTGCGATGTCAGCGAATCTGGCACCGGAGCTCCAGTAGAGCGTAAGTCAAACTAGCCGGGTCATCAGCAAAGGGGTACCAAGCAAATTCGGGGAACGAGCCGGGGTCAGAGAAGCACAGAGCAGCGAGAAGAGTCAAACCAAGGAACTCCGGAACAGAGGAAGGCTTGAGACCACTCGGCACTGGAGGCGAGGGTGTCACAGACTTCAATAGCCCGTTCGGCGCCCCAGCTCATAATGAGCGCATGCACAACTGCGGGTAGACCAAATGAGCATGCGCAGAGGCACACGGCCGTGAATCATTCTGTAAGCCAGACTATGCCCATGTGTCCGCGCAGAGCTTTGGCAGCACTCTGGCTTCATGACAGTCAGAGCCGGCTTGTTCTAAGACCGGTCCTTCCCGTCACTCCAGCGGTCTGAGGACCCTTCACGTCTTATCAGCAATTAGTGTTTGTTACTCACTTGTCTCCGTATGTAGAGAAGATTCCTCCTGTTCACTCTTCACCATCATCTCACCCTCCTCCATAGACTGCTGAGCTCCTCCCACCAACGTCTCTTCTTCTTCCTCTTTAACCTCAACTTTCATGTCTTTCAGTTTTTCACCCTAAATCCCCAAAGATGATAGAACAGATATGTGACCAGGAAGAGATTACATAGAGGGATGTTATATAATAACTTGGAATTCATGTTTTACCCCACCTACCTGATCATGGTGAGGGAGGGTGAGATCTTCCTGGGTGGGATCCCGGGAATCCAGAGGACGGGGACATGTCTCTGGTGGGTTTGTGTCACTCAATGGCTCCATCATGACGTCCTTGAAGGGGTCTTTGTGTTCTTCTAAAAGCTCCTCCGCCACACCAACCTCCTCCTCCTCTTTTATCTCTTCTTTAACATCACACTCACTCTGAATATTGAGAACAATGAGATCAGATGAAATAAAACAACGATTTGGGACGTGTCAACATGTATCCCCTATTATTTCTCTATTTCACCTCATGTGAGACGGTAAGATCTTCCTGTGTGGGGTCCCGGGAATCCAGAGGACGGGGACATCTCTCTGGTGGGTTCCTCTTACTGGATCCATCTGTAGGAAACACACACACTGACTGAATACATTGTTTCTATGTGTGTATCAGATGATGGGGGATGTAGGCGGAGCCTCTGTACTGCTCTCTCCTCTTACCCGGTGATGTGAGGGGCGGGGCATTCTCCATCACCACGTCCTTGTAGAGATCCCGGTGTCCTTCTAGATAATCCTTCACAGAGACAGAGACATCCCGACACCTTATAGGAACCTGACACACACAATGATACAGTCACCACCCAGACACGCCCCTTGTCTGTTCCTGGATCATATCCCAGAATTCCCGGCACCGCTCACCTCTCCCGTCAGCAGCTCCATCTTCTTCTTGGTGACTTCTAGAACCTTCTCGGCTCTGTTATCTTCTGTTGTCAGGCCGCGAGGTGGAGGCACCGATAAGGTCTCTTGAAGACATCTGCTGGTTGTTGATGACTCGTCATCTTTATTTTTCACGGCTTTATAATCCTGCGTAAAGATCATCAGACGTTCTAAAATCCTCCTCACCCCTCCGGTCAGGTCTGTGTTTTATTAAGAGATCAGAGTGAGGTCATGTGACCTCCCAGAATCCTCCTCACCTCTCCGGTCAGCAGGTAGATGATCTCCAACGTGAGTTCTAATATCCTCTCAGTCACGTGACTTTGCTCCTTGGCCATCCTCATTGAAGTGGTCATCTTATCTACGCAGTAGACTCCTCTCTGTAGATAATAAACTGAGAATTATCTGGACTGGGATGCAAAATGTCTACCTAGCGTTCCTCCAAAGTTCTGACACCTCAGGCTGCTTCATATGCTGTACTAGAGATTCCCCACAAAGAACAACTTCATCCAAAATCTTATTTTATTACATTTTATGTTAAGTTTGTATTGACTAGAGAAGTGTTAGAACCTCTGTGGAGGAACTTTGGTCTCTGCCCTTGTTAGAGGAAGTCACTTTAAATTACTGCCCGGGTTGATGGGCGTCAAAAGGCTCCGCACATAAGGGGACCTCGGCCCAATGGGGAACCAGGGAAATTCTAAAACGAAAACTATATAAAAACAGGACAACCAGCATCAGGCGATGGTGAGGAAGAGCCAACCCTGACAGGTTCAGAAATGCAGCATCACGTCCACCAAATCCCCCAACATCAGGAGCTTCATCACTTCTTCTGCTTCCTGGATGAGAACTTGTACTGTAGATCCGTCTTCTTCCTCTCCATATCCCCCTCCAGAGAAGACCTGACGTCCATTATAGAGGAGAGCCAACAACCTCGAGACAGCTTCATAGGAGTTGGATAAATGGCTCTATATTTAGGATGTATCCGGTCTATAAATGGCGGCTCTGGATGGACGGTTGGATAAATTGTTCTATATTTAGGATGTATCCGGTCTATAAATGGCGGCTCTGGATGGACGGTTGGATAAATTGTTCTATATTTAGGATGTATCCGGTCTATAAATGGCGGCTCTGGATGGACGGTTGGATAAATTGTTCTATATTTAGGATGTATCCGGTCTATAAATGGCGGCTCTGGATGGACGGTTGGATAAATTGTTCTATATTTAGGATGTATCCGGTCTATAAATGGCGGCTCTGGATGGACGGTTGGATAAATTGTTCTATATTTAGGATGTATCCGGTCTATAAATGGCGGCTCTGGATGGACGGTTGGATAAATTGTTCTATATTTAGGATGTATCCGGTCTATAAATGGCGGCTCTGGATGGACGGTTGGATAAATTGTTCTATATTTAGGATGTATCCGGTCTATAAATGGCGGCTCTGGATGGACGGTTGGATAAATTGTTCTATATTTAGGATGTATCCGGTCTATAAATGGCGGCTCTGGATGGACGGTTGGATAAATTGTTCTATATTTAGGATGTATCCGGTCTATAAATGGCGGCTCTGGATGGACGGTTGGATAAATTGTTCTATATTTAGGATGTATCCGGTCTATAAATGGCGGCTCTGGATGGACGGTTGGATAAATTGTTCTATATTTAGGATGTATCCGGTCTATAAATGGCGGCTCTGGATGGACGGTTGGATAAATTGTTCTATATTTAGGATGTATCCGGTCTATAAATGGCGGCTCTGGATGGACGGTTGGATAAATTGTTCTATATTTAGGATGTATCCGGTCTATAAATGGCGGCTCTGGATGGACGGTTGGATAAATTGTTCTATATTTAGGATGTATCCGGTCTATAAATGGCGGCTCTGGATGGACGGTTGGATAAATTGTTCTATATTTAGGATGTATCCGGTCTATAAATGGCGGCTCTGGATGGACGGTTGGATAAATTGTTCTATATTTAGGATGTATCCGGTCTATAAATGGCGGCTCTGGATGGACGGTTGGATAAATTGTTCTATATTTAGGATGTATCCGGTCTATAAATGGCGGCTCTGGATGGACGGTTGGATAAATTGTTCTATATTTAGGATGTATCCGGTCTATAAATGGCGGCTCTGGATGGACGGTTGGATAAATTGTTCTATATTTAGGATGTATCCGGTCTATAAATGGCGGCTCTGGATGGACGGTTGGATAAATTGTTCTATATTTAGGATGTATCCGGTCTATAAATGGCGGCTCTGGATGGACGGTTGGATAAATTGTTCTATATTTAGGATGTATCCGGTCTATAAATGGCGGCTCTGGATGGACGGTTGGATAAATTGTTCTATATTTAGGATGTATCCGGTCTATAAATGGCGGCTCTGGATGGACGGTTGGATAAATTGTTCTATATTTAGGATGTATCCGGTCTATAAATGGCGGCTCTGGATGGACGGTTGGATAAATTGTTCTATATTTAGGATGTATCCGGTCTATAAATGGCGGCTCTGGATGGACGGTTGGATAAATTGTTCTATATTTAGGATGTATCCGGTCTATAAATGGCGGCTCTGGATGGACGGTTGGATAAATTGTTCTATATTTAGGATGTATCCGGTCTATAAATGGCGGCTCTGGATGGACGGTTGGATAAATTGTTCTATATTTAGGATGTATCCGGTCTATAAATGGCGGCTCTGGATGGACGGTTGGATAAATTGTTCTATATTTAGGATGTATCCGGTCTATAAATGGCGGCTCTGGATGGACGGTTGGATAAATTGTTCTATATTTAGGATGTATCCGGTCTATAAATGGCGGCTCTGGATGGACGGTTGGATAAATTGTTCTATATTTAGGATGTATCCGGTCTATAAATGGCGGCTCTGGATGGACGGTTGGATAAATTGTTCTATATTTAGGATGTATCCGGTCTATAAATGGCGGCTCTGGATGGACGGTTGGATAAATTGTTCTATATTTAGGATGTATCCGGTCTATAAATGGCGGCTCTGGATGGACGGTTGGATAAATTGTTCTATATTTAGGATGTATCCGGTCTATAAATGGCGGCTCTGGATGGACGGTTGGATAAATTGTTCTATATTTAGGATGTATCCGGTCTATAAATGGCGGCTCTGGATGGACGGTTGGATAAATTGTTCTATATTTAGGATGTATCCGGTCTATAAATGGCGGCTCTGGAGGGACAGTTGGATAAATGGCTCTATATTTAGGGTGTATCCGGTCTATGAACCAGAACAGACATCACAGTGAATATGGAAAACGAGGATGGACATGACGGGGGGGGGTTACTGGGTGTGAATATCAAATATAATATCTTATTACCTCCTCTGCTGCCAGTTGCAACAATGTCTTTTGTGCTTCTTCTCACCCGGAACTTCCTGTTCTTTCCATACATCACTTCCTGTCTTTTCCACTCACATTGAATTAGATCACCACCTGTTGGCGGCTATAAGTACTGCATCCTGTTTTACGTTTTTATCATTTTGCCCTGCCGCCTTTCGTTGCGTCCTTTATTACACACATGGAGATTATACATCTGTTGGAATCCAAAAATTATAAAAGGCAACAATTTTTTTTTTTTTTTAGTATTTTTAGTGATCAGAAGAAAACATACACTGTACTTATTTATATATTTTCATTTTTTTTTTACATAGTGTTTGAGGTTGAATAAAGACACAGGTCCATCGAGCTCAACCTTTGTGTGTGTATGTGAGTCCCTCTGTGGTCTAATTTTTAAGAGTACCTGTCCCCCTGTATGTTACGGTCTCCGAGGAAGGTATCTAAATGACTTTTGAATGATTCCACACTCTCAGCTGATACCACGGCTTGCGGCAGAGACTTCCACAATGTAACTACTCTAAGCGCGGTTTCAATAGGAATAATTTATTTTGTATCTGTTTTACTACATTCTCTGACAGCTCTCCTCCACTATCCACACTACATTCTCTGACAGCTCTCCTCCACCATCCACACTACATTCTCTGACAGCTCTCCTCCCCCATCCACACTACATTCTCTGACAGCTCTCCTCCCCCATCCACACTACATTCTCTGACAGCTCTCCTCCCCCATCCACACTACATTCTCTGACAGCTCTCCTCCCCCATCCACACTACATTCTCTGACAGCTCTCCTCCCCCATCCACACTACATTCTCTGACAGCTCTCCTCCCCCATCCACACTACATTCTCTGACAGCTCTCCTCCCCCATCCACACTACATTCTCTGACAGCTCTCCTCCCCCATCCACACTACATTCTCTGACAGCTCTCCTCCCCCATCCACACTACATTCTCTGACAGCTCTCCTCCCCCATCCACACTACATTCTCTGACAGCTCTCCTCCCCCATCCACACTACATTCTCTGACAGCTCTCCTCCCCCATCCACACTACATTCTCTGACAGCTCTCCTCCCCCATCCACACTACATTCTCTGACAGCTCTCCTCCCCCATCCACACTACATTCTCTGACAGCTCTCCTCCCCCATCCACACTACATTCTCTGACAGCTCTCCTCCCCCATCCACACTACATTCTCTGACAGCTCTCCTCCCCCATCCACACTACATTCTCTGACAGCTCTCCTCCCCCATCCACACTACATTCTCTGACAGCTCTCCTCCCCCATCCACACTACATTCTCTGACAGCTCTCCTCCCCCATCCACACTACATTCTCTGACAGCTCTCCTCCCCCATCCACACTACATTCTCTGACAGCTCTCCTCCCCCATCCACACTACATTCTCTGACAGCTCTCCTCCCCCATCCACACTACATTCTCTGACAGCTCTCCTCCCCCATCCACACTACATTCTCTGACAGCTCTCCTCCCCCATCCACACTACATTCTCTGACAGCTCTCCTCCCCCATCCACACTACATTCTCTGACAGCTCTCCTCCCCCATCCACACTACATTCTCTGACAGCTCTCCTCCCCCATCCACACTACATTCTCTGACAGCTCTCCTCCCCCATCCACACTACATTCTCTGACAGCTCTCCTCCCCCATCCACACTACATTCTCTGACAGCTCTCCTCCCCCATCCACACTACATTCTCTGACAGCTCTCCTCCCCCATCCACACTACATTCTCTGACAGCTCTCCTCCCCCATCCACACTACATTCTCTGACAGCTCTCCTCCCCCATCCACACTACATTCTCTGACAGCTCTCCTCCCCCATCCACACTACATTCTCTGACAGCTCTCCTCCCCCATCCACACTACATTCTCTGACAGCTCTCCTCCCCCATCCACACTACATTCTCTGACAGCTCTCCTCCCCCATCCACACTACATTCTCTGACAGCTCTCCTCCCCCATCCACACTACATTCTCTGACAGCTCTCCTCCCCCATCCACACTACATTCTCTGACAGCTCTCCTCCCCCATCCACACTACATTCTCTGACAGCTCTCCTCCCCCATCCACACTACATTCTCTGACAGCTCTCCTCCCCCATCCACACTACATTCTCTGACAGCTCTCCTCCCCCATCCACACTACATTCTCTGACAGCTCTCCTCCCCCATCCACACTACATTCTCTGACAGCTCTCCTCCCCCATCCACACTACATTCTCTGACAGCTCTCCTCCCCCATCCACACTACATTCTCTGACAGCTCTCCTCCCCCATCCACACTACATTCTCTGACAGCTCTCCTCCCCCATCCACACTACATTCTCTGACAGCTCTCCTCCCCCATCCACACTACATTCTCTGACAGCTCTCCTCCCCCATCCACACTACATTCTCTGACAGCTCTCCTCCCCCATCCACACTACATTCTCTGACAGCTCTCCTCCCCCATCCACACTACATTCTCTGACAGCTCTCCTCCCCCATCCACACTACATTCTCTGACAGCTCTCCTCCCCCATCCACACTACATTCTCTGACAGCTCTCCTCCCCCATCCACACTACATTCTCTGACAGCTCTCCTCCCCCATCCACACTACATTCTCTGACAGCTCTCCTCCCCCATCCACACTACATTCTCTGACAGCTCTCCTCCCCCATCCACACTACATTCTCTGACAGCTCTCCTCCACCATCCAGCTGATTGGCTTTCTGTTGGCAAAGATATTGTTGACAAAGAGAGAAATATTCATGTATTGATGAGATATAGTAAATATATGTAGTTTTTATTTTTCGCACATATATAATGTAAAAGTCACCACAGAGTTATGAAATGCATCAGCAGATAATAAATATATATATTAGGGATTTTCTCACTAGGAGAAAAACATCCTCATTAGTATGACTCCTCTGGTGTGTAATCAGATCTTCCTTCCTCGGTGAAACATTTCCCACACTCAGATCATCACAAAGGACCCTCTGGCGTGTGAATTTTCTGGTGCGTAATCATTGCCTTCTTGTGACGGAAACTTTTCCCACAGTCTGCACATAAGAAAGGTCGCTCGCCTGTGTGAATTCTCTGGTGTATAAGAAGTGCGCCTTTTTCGGTAAAGCATTTCCCACAATCCGAACATAAGAAAGGGCGTTCTCCAGTGTGTATTCTGTGGTGTTTAAGAAGATCTGATTTCTGAATGAAAAATTTCCCACACTCTGAGCATGAATAAGGACTCTCACCCGTGTGAATTCGCTGGTGTGCAAGAAGTTTTGCCTTTTCAGTATAACATTTCCCGCACTCTGAACAGGAAAAAGGACGCTCGCCCCTGTGTCTTCTTTGGTGTGTGAGAAGTTTCCCTTTCTCAATGAAAGATTTCCCGCACTCTGGACACGAATAGGGACGCTCGCCCGTGTGAATTCTCTGGTGTTTAATAAGGTCTCCTTTTTGAATAAAAGATTTCCCGCAGTATGAACACGAGAAAGGACGCTCTCCAGTGTGAATCCTCTGGTGTCTGACGAGTGCGTTTTTCAAAATGAAACATTTTCCGCACTCCGAACATGAAAATGGCCGCTCTCCCGTATGACTTTTCTGGTGTGTGAGAAGTACTTTTTTCTCAGAGAAGGATTTCCCGCACTCTGTACATAAAAAAGGACGCTCACCCGTGTGAATTCTCTGGTGACGAAGAAGGTCTCCTCTCTGGACGAAACGTTTTCCACACTCGGAGCATACATGGGGACGCTCACTTGTGTGACTCTTCTGGTGCATAAGAAGGTGTTTGTTTTCAGTGAAGGAGAATGCACACACCGAACACGAGTACGAACTCTTCTCATGGCTTACAAAACGTTCTTTGGGATTAGATGGACCTGTTGAGTTTTCCGCACCCTGAGATCTCAGATGGAGGTCTGAAGTCATGTGATGGGATTGGTCAGAAGATCCCTCAGGATTAGAGGGATCCATTGAATGGGGAGGTCTGTGAGGTGTATCATGAGTAATGAGATTCACCCCTGGAGAATATTGGGCCGTTCCATCGTTTTCTGCATTATAACCGTGAGATAACAAGAGACGTCCCTCAGAGGAATTCCAGGCATAGCGTCCATCTGCAGGGAAGCAAGAAAAGTAAGGCAGTCGCATTCTGATGACATCACACGAGCTTTCTCTGTGGATTGTCCAGGAAAATTTGCCCCCGGGATGGATCTTAACTCTTGTCAGGTTCACAGGAAACACAGCCTGAAATACGCAACCGCCTGAACCCAACTGAAGGCAGCGGGAGCCGAATCTTTTCTGGCCTTTGTCAACTCATGGTAATAAAAGGGGCGTGGGTAGCCGGCCACTGCCATGGGGGAAATGTTTCTTAAAGGAGAACTACGGGGATAAGTGTCTTTTCCCGTGGTCCTCCTCAGGGTCACGGGAGGACATATACTAACCTCCTCCCGTCACCCTAAGCTCAGTATATAGCGGGCTACAGCTCGCTGTATACTGAGACCGCCGCAACCGGGACGGATCCCGACATTACTGTCTGGATCCACCCAGCTGCGTGACTGACAGCTATCTAGAGGAGGAGCAAGCTGTACCCGCCCCCTCCCCCGTCCGTTCCGCCAGTCAGCGCTGCATGATCGGACAGGGGAGGGGGGGAATCCCTGCACGTGAGTGACGATCACGGCTCTCTGCAGGAACAGGATCGAGAAGTGAGCGAGCGCCGGTATGTGTTCGCTCACTTCCCGATCTACTGAGCCGACCCGTGACAGTCTCATTGTCACAGGTCGGCTCAACCTATGAGGAGGAGTGAATATCACTCACTTCATAGATCTCCTTTAACCCATGCAGAGGGGCTTCCCCCGCACGCATAATGGTCTACGGTCGGAGAAGTACCAAGCGGCAGGCAGAAGCGGTAGTCGGGGTCGGAGAAGCACAGAGCAGCGAGAAGAGACAAACCAAGGAACTCCGGAACAGAGGAAGGCTGGAGATCACTCGGCACTGGAGGCGAGGATGTCACAGACTTCAATAGCCCGTTTGGCGTCCCAGCTTATGAGCGTATGCACAATTGCGCGTAGACCAATGAGCATGCGTGCAGACCTGCGCAGAGGCACACAGCCGTGCATCATTCTGTAAGCCAGACTATGTCCTCGCGCAGAGATTTGGCAGCACTCTGGCTTCTTGACACTCAGAGCCGGCTTGTTCTAAGACCGGTCCTTCCCGTCACTCCAGCGGTCTGAGGACCCTTCACCCTTCACGTCTTATCAGCAATTAGTGTTTGTTACTCACTTGTCTCCGTATGTAGAGAAGATTCCTCCCGTTCACTCTTCACCATCATCTCCCCCTCCTCTATAGACTGCTGAGCTCCTCCCACCAACGTCTCTTCTTCTTTTACCTCAACTTTGATGGCTTCCAGTTCTTCATCCTAAAACACCAATGATAGCATACAATTATAGAAAGGAACGAGAGATTATATCGGGGAATGTCTCCTCATAGCTCAGAATACATCTTTATATCTACAGGTGTCAGCAGCTCCATCATCTTCCTGGTGACTTCTAGAATCTTCTTGGCTCTGTTCACCTCTGTTGTCGGGCGGTGAGGTGGAGGCTCTGTGATGGGTGATGTCCAGTTAACATAACTGTTGGGTGTTAATGGTCCACCAGATGTTTCCATCACTACTTTATAATTCTGTATAAACAGATAAAAGTAACAATTATCACTACCGAACCCCCAGAATCCTCCTCACCCCTCCGGTCAGGTCTGTGTGTTATGAATAGAGATCAGAGTGATGTCATGTGACCTCCCAGAATCCTCCTCACCCCTCCGGTCAGGTCTGTGTGTTATGAATAGAGATCAGTGATGTCATGTGACCTCCCAGAATCCTCCTCACCCCTCCGGTCAGGTCTGTGTTTTATGAATAGAGATCAGAGTGATGTCATGTGACCGTCCCAGAATCCTCCTCACCCCTCCAGTCAGGTCTATGTGTTATGAATAGAGATCAGTGATGTCATGTGACCTCCCAGAATCCTCCTCACCTCTCCGGTCAGCAGGTAGATGATCTCCAGGGTGAGGTCCAATATCCTCTCAGTCATGTGACTTTGTTTTTTGTCCATCCTCCTTGATGTGGTCATGTGATCCGTAAAGCTCTCTCCTCTCTGCAGATGAACAGTAAGCGGAGAATTATCTGCGTTATACTGGGAGGAGTAAATAGTCTCTTATACGGATACACAGACTTTGCGCTTCGAAGTCGCTGAATAATACATTCTCTAAATATTCTTCCGAGTGGAAGATGGGTTGGAACTTAAGTATTCTTCCGTCTATCCCCTTTGGGGACACTTTCCCTTCCAGGGAACACGACAGGCTGTCCTCTCAATGGGTACAGTCAAAGGAGAACTACGGGGTCAGGGCTTTTCCCCATAGTTCTCCTCAGGGTCACAGGAGGACACAAACTAGCGTCCTCCCGTCACCCTAAGCTCAGTATATAGAGAGCTACAGCTCGCGGTATACTGAGACCGCCGCAGCCGGAGCGGATCCCGACTGGGGAGGGGAGGGGTGCAATAGTTAGGCGGTTGGAGCGGGAACCTGTACAGGGGATTATTTATCATTATCTTGATGCTCTAACAGGTTAAGTATATTGTAAGTGATAGCTCTGTGTGTGTACAGCTAGAGAGAGGAAGTAAGAGATTAGAAGGTGGTGGATATAAAAGATGTCACAGTGACTCTGGAGGAAAAAACAGAACAGAAGATATTACAGTAAATATGGAGGATGAGGACGGACATGACGGGGGAGGGGGGGAGGGGTTACTAGGTGTGAATATAAAATAACATCTTATTACCTCCTCTGATACCATTCCCAGCAATGTCTCCTCTCTACTTCCTGCTACTCCACTATTTTTTTTTTCTTCACCTTTAATATTACTTCCTGTTTGCACTTTTTACATCACTTCCTGTCTGTGCATTCGCCTCACAATTGCCACCGCCTTGTGGCGAATATGAATACCGCAGCTTGCGGTGTATGTGAACGCTTTGAAGCATTCTTCAGCTCGCTGCGTACGTTACACTAGTAGTTAAAAGTCAACCAACTATTCCGTCACTGTTGTCCGCACCATAAGGACCAATGACGGAACAATTCCGTCGCGGTTGCTGTGCAAATTTTATCCGATGATTGATGGTTGAAGGTTGGATTCACTATAAGTAGCTCTCTTCACAGAGGCAAGGATACTTTATGTTCGTTTCACACACATTTGTCACAGATGAAAAATGTCAGCTGACACGCATGTGAACTGGGCCTTCTGAACCGAGCTCATTCCCATCACCAATGGAGGACTCTCTATGAACCGAGCTCATTCCCATCACCAATGGAGGACTCTCTATGACCTGAGCTCATTCCCATCACCAATGGAGGACTCTCTATGAACTGAGCTCATTCCCATCACCAATGGAGGACTCTCTATGAACCGAGCTCATTCCCATCACCAATGGAGGACTCTCTATGAACTGAGCTCATTCCCATCACCAATGGAGGACTCTCTATGACCTGAGCTCATTCCGATCACCAATGGATGACTCTCTATGATCTGAGCTCATTCCAATTCCAAACAACTTCGAAATATGATAATTTGTTAGAAAAAAAAAAAACTCAAGTCCTGTGCGTTCTTTTTTATTTATATAACAATAAAACAAAAAAACAGAATAGCTGATTGACATACAATCAAACGAAGACGTCACCATTTTATTACACATTGACTCAACCAAGGGAAACCCAAATTCTTTAGTTAGGAAAATAAAAAAGCAACAACATAATAAATGTTAAAAAAAGGAAGACAAATTATGATTGGATTCGATTTTTCTGGCATTTTGTGGCCTATGTGTTACTACCACTGTTTATTTGTTGCCCGCGTATTGGTACAGTTGCCCATTTTTTGGCAGTCGGTACTTGGTGTACTTCCTTCTCACAGTTTCCAGTGCGGTGCCACGTATTGCCATGTGTGCCCATGTGTAACACTGATTAGTTCTGTCGTCTTTCTATAATTTATTCCCAGCAGGTTTATAATTATCAAATTGCACCCTGAGTTCTTTCTCATTTTGGCCTCACCCCCAATACTCTGCAAAGCTCACCAGTTGGGTCTATTCTCCCCCGAGAAAATATGAGACTAGTGGGATGACAAATGTTCCCCGGTCTCCTCCCATCTCTAGAGTTCCAGGGTCTCCTCCTATCTCTAGAGTTGCCGGGTCTCCTCCTACCTCTAGAGTTGCCGGGTCTCCTCCTACCTCTAGAGTTGCCAGGTCTCCTCCTACCTCTAGAGTTGCCGGGTCTCCTCCTATCTCTAGAGTTCCCGGGTCTCCTCCTATCTCTAGAGTTCCCGGGTCTCCTCCTATCTCTAGAGTTCCAGGGTCTCCTCCTATCTCTAGAGTTGCCGGGTCTCCTCCTATCTCTAGAGTTCTCGGGTCTCCTATCGCTAGAGTTGCCGGGTCTTGTCCTATCTCTAGAGTTCCCGGGTCTCCTCCTATCTCTAGAGTTCTCGGGTCTCCTATCTCTAGAGTTCTCGGGTCTCCTCCTATCTCTAGAGTTCCCGGGTCTCCTCCTATCTCTAGAGCTCTCGGGTCTCCTCCCATCTCTAGAGTTGCCGGGTCTCCTCCTATCTCTAGAGTTCCCGGGTCTCCTTCTATCTCTAGAGTTCTCGGGTCTCCTCCTATCTCTAGAGTTCCCGGGTCTCCTCCTATCTCTAGAGTTCCCGGGTCTTCTCCTATCTCTAGAGTTCCCGGGGTCTACCTACCTGCCGCACCCATTATGAGGCTCCCACTGCACC